GTGTGCGATTGTGTGTAGTTTTGTTTATATTACTTTTATCCACATGTACACAAAGTTTCGAAGTGTGCTATGATCATATAGTTGTTGTGAGATCACGTACTGGTATCCTTTCCAAAAGGATTCCAACGTAGTCATATATTCATTAAGTGAATCACTTTCATATACACTTACAGCAAAATCAAGCAACAGCTCGTCTATCTTTTCATCTGTTGGTCTCGCTCTCAGGGCCTTCCCACCCGAAATATCGTCTAGTGAATCAATCGTGTTACCAGATGTATTGGCTAAGTTGTTCGCCGACCCTGCGCCCATCATTCTTGCAGACGATCGCGATATCCGGTTGGCCATTTGGGTCAACTTCGTGGGCTTCTTGGTTTTAGTTTTGTTCATCGTGCCTGTACTGCAACTGTCGAGGCCGGCGTGCAGAGACCCGGCCCTCGAGAGATCCTCGTTGGAGGTTTGGTTCCCCATTATGCTTTGATTTGTTTCTATTTAGGCATGGATGTGGTTTACACTATAAACTAAACTTCGTTCTTAGTGCGCAGCTTGTATGGAATATGGCGATCACTATTTTCCGCTCAGGGCATCTTGATTGAGATATATTGTGTGTGTGTTGTGTGAACCGACATGCCGTGCAACGCAAATCTCAGCTAGAACTATGGACTAATGGACATGGCCGCACTTCCGACTACTTCGGTGTGTATGTGCACGTTTATCCGATTACGTATTAATATCTGTTGCGACTCGCGAAGCAAAATATTACTGACGCTCAAAACATCAGGATGGTGTTTGTCTGATCGGTTGTGGTGCAGAAATAGCGGCCTTTGGCAGACCACTTTTGAATTGTCCAATTGGATGGCGCCGATAAATGATATTTTGTTTTGCTTTTTCCGAAATAAATCCCAAGAGTTTATGAAGTATCATCCTATCAGACCGGCATCAAGGCTGCACCGTGCACCTTGGCATTATGAATACCGAATTGCCGATAGGCGGGGTCATTGTCTCACACATCTCTATCAAAAATAAAGAATAACATATTAACATTTTCTCCTTTATAGTTTCTCACAGAACGACTATTTGTTTGGAATCACACGTTTTACGAACTTCCACAGTTGCAAGCCGTAAAGTGACCAATGAAGGGCTGGGCTTGGGGCTTGAATGCATACAGACGTATATGCACCGACTAACAACACTCCCCGACCGAGATATCCGTCGTGCCACTGTCGTTTTAACCTCCATTTTTCTCGTAGTGTAGTGTAGCAATAGCCACTGCATGCGTGGTTTACCTTTTGGCTGACGCGCAAACCGTCTCGTAGTATGTTTACGTTGTGAATATGCACGTTTTACCCGCGACAGCCCATCGTTGCATGCTTGCTTTTCAGATATGTATGATTGTGATTGCTTTGTGTGGGACATGTATTAGGGATATGGAAATAGACTTCGTCTTCTTGGTCAAGGCAAACAATCCCTGGAGAATGCAGTATCTACTGACACCAATAAACATTAAAAACTCCGCAAGTTAATCTATATTGTGGTTGCTAGAGTAGATGCGGCTTGAGAGTACATGCTTCATTCGCTACATAAAATCGCTGTAAATTTTTTTTTCCCAAATTCCCACTCGTTTAAGATTTACCTGTTGCCTATTTAGGTCAATAGGGTGAAATAGTTTTCCGACTTGGTATTAGGAGCACTTTGATGAGCGAATTGTTAAAATATACAATCATGCTCTACCAGAAACGACTAACCTGTAGTTTTGAATCGTCGGTTGTCGTGATTATAACCATCGCAACATCCAGGACTGTCAATTCCGATAGCGACGCTGAAAAAAAATGAGAAGCACTTGCCAGCTGCCCACAGTTACACCATCGAAAAAGAAAAAGTACCCCTTCAACCGCCCAGCACGCCATCGCTATGAAATACATCGAGCCGAGGCACCTTTCTCGGTATACTATAAAATCCGGGCTGCGTCATCAAGCTTTGAATCAGGATTCGCGCCTAATTTCGATGCCGAAAGGGTATACACTAAATACTGGTAGGGTTTCTGATCGGTCGAGATACTTTTCCTCTGTTATGCTATCAAACTACTTATATAGGCAGACTCGCTATTTGTAAGTGATTACTAGCATTTGATTACCTCGTACGTTGTTATCTGAAGTAGTCTTTAGGAAGACTCAATCTTAGATGGCAATGGCACTCATCACGATGTTTACATCCTCTGTCATATCTATGAATATTGCCAGGCCGTAAAAGGAACATGCTTGCTTTCATATTTGTCCCTGTGACAGCGCTGATCATTTGTGATGTAGTCTCAAGCTCTAGTATGTCTCTGCTAACACTCATTTTCTGGGAGTGGTCAATTGTGATGTCAGAGCCTTGACCCGCGTTCAGTATTAAATTAACCACGAATGAAAACTAGTCAAGAGGTTCTTCATGAATTTATACACAAGAATACTCTGTGAGATATGTTTCGCATGCGTGTGTATCGCTAATCAGAAATGCCCACATTATCCTAAAGCCCATCGAGCAAAGCACAGGATATTTTCCTTTCTGTCGAATTGATTTACAATTCTTATTTGTACGCAATGTTACAAGTGACCTCATCTTTTATTGTATGACATCAAACGTCGGCCTATGAATCATGGCAACGGACGGATGGTGACGATCAGGACCCACCACCTCAATACAGCTGGCGGGGAGCAATAACATCGCATTATTTTCAGTCCCTCTTGATTTCCCTTCTTGGATTCCTTTCGGTCATTCTCATGTATAAACTAAATAAAGACACTGTCCTGGCTTTTTCTAATCACGGAGGTTCCGGGGCACAGATACGTCGGGATGTTCCCGCACGCCACAGCTGGTACAGTGCTCAGACATGCTCTAATTGGATACGACACCCTATCGTATTGATATATATTTATTGCTCGTTCTTGTAGAAACCCCCTTCTCTTTCTCGTAAAAAATAGTGTATTTGTGTAGTCACAAGCTAGGTTGATGTGCCTGCTTCCGACTCGCGCCTATCCTTTTCCTTCGCATACAGCTCCTTCAATCGCCTAGAATTGAATTTATGCAAGAAAGACCATCAGATATAGAGAAACACCAAATGGCAAATGATACATGCCATGCCACCCACCATGCACATATGAGACACACATACGTGCACATATGAGACACACATACATGCACATATAAGATACGTGCACATGCACATATGAAGTACGTGCACATGCACATATGCGACACACATACATGCACATATGGGATACGTGCGCATGCACATATGAAGTACGTGCACATGCGTGGGATAACAGTGGCTCTGAACACTCCAGCGCATTCCTCACAACACTCGGTGATGGAAAGCAAGACACTCGATTTGCCATTCTCGCATACAATGTGCTGTGATGCTGTGCACTTTGAGGATGTATGCTGGCTACGCGGCATGCAATAGAGCTGATAGAATAGAGCGTGCGAAGCAATGGATTGAGGCAACACCTGCGCACACAAGCAACACTGTGTATTACACAGCAGCGTATAATACACATGGGTAGCCAACCTGTATGTCGCTCAGCTGCAAAGTAAAACTTTAAAACCCCCTCCCGATATATTGTTCACACAGGGCCAGGAACAACGTTACAACAGAGGCACAACGTATAAGTCAGAATACAATACAAGCACATTTTGATCCAACAGAGACACAACGTACAAGTTAGAAACAACCCATACAATACAATACAAACACATACTTGATCTCATCCCTGTCGCTCTCGCCCTTTGGCTTCTCATCGCCATCTACATCCTTGACCTTTCTCGTACGTACCTGTGGATATAGTAAGATTGGGTGTATTGGTTGTAATACCGTTGGGTGATCCAGGAAAGACAGGAGCATCCGTGGAAATGCACGACGAACAAGGACGAAGTCTTCGGACTTCTCCTGGCTTTCAGACAAGCGGTTAGTTATATCAACGATGAAGCGGCACTACGATACGTGCACACCAACGCGCACAATCGAACTCGCGCTAGAGGATGATGAGGACTAATACTTCAGGTCAGACGCAAGACTGCATAGAATCTACAATAATCTTGCATACATACATGGGGCATATAGGTAATCAGAGCCGTCTATATGAGCCCCTATTTGGCCCACACCAGACCCCATTTGTAGCTCAACATTTGCAAACCCGAACACGTATATGAGAACGCGATGGGGTCACTACCACCGCCCCCACCCCCAAAAAACCTCCCTAAATCCTAAAACCCCCAAACAATGAGTACAAGCAGCAACAACACAAAACACACTCGTATATATGTGATGCAAGGCAAAGCAGGACATGGAACATGAGCACCGAGTGGTAGACACCGAACACATCCCCCCCACACGTGCCTGACTGGCCTCCAGCGCTATGAGCTTGGGCAGTTCCCGTCGGGTCAGCCACCACACAAGCACAGTGGCCGATGCCAGCAACAGGGCCCCTACGGCAAACCAGTACCAGCTGTCCTGGATGTAGTGGGAGATGTTGTACACGTTGCCGCTGCTGAAGAACTCGGACACCGTGTCAAGGGCATCCTGGCGCACCAGCTTCTCGCATTTGCCTTCTTCGTTACACTGGCCTTCGTAGTTGCCTGTAGAAAGGTACGTGGGCGTGGGCGTGGGCGTGGGCGTTTGGGGGGAGCGTTTGAGGTTGTTGTGAGAGTCGGCCCATAGGCTTTCGGCTGGTGAACGATTAAATGGCTCCCATGACGGGTTGACAGGTGTCAGGTGTCAGATGTCAGATATCAGGTCGAATAGACGCTGGGCATGAGCATAAAATAGCTCACAGGCACGATACGTCGAATGCATACACCAACGCGGGATTGTGCAAGACGTACCTAAGCATGACACTACAGTACACGCGTGCGGTCTCCAAACTAAGGCACACACACACCACCGACCCGAATCTGAGCAGGCCACACACTCATGCACATACAAGCGAACTCGCGCGTATACGTCCAAATGTGGTTTACCTAGGCACAGATGAGAAGTAGTGAGCATACCTGTGGTACTGAAGCAAGGATAACCCCCTGGATAGTAGGCACCCGGGATAGTGCCGTTGTTGCCCTCCATACCCTGTGTCTCCGCATCCTGGGTGGTAAGACACACACCGTTGAACTGGCACGATACGGCACATTCCTAACAGAAGCAGGTATGGACAGTACACGTGTCAGCAGGATACGAAACCATTTAGCGCTGAATGAGAGTCTGAGGCTGGCTTGACAGCACGCAGCGTCTTGTAGGATTCATAGATCTACCTCTACACGATGCTTGTAAAGTACAGGGTAGTTCAATCAGATCTACCTCTACACGATGTTTATAAAGTACAGGGTGGTTCAATCGGATCTACCTCTACACGATGTTTATAAAGTACAGGGTGGTTTGGAGTCAGTGATATCATGTGCTGCAGGTATGGTTTAATGCTGAGTATGATGGTAACACGCGTATTCTGGGGTGTTGTTTGTCTATTCTGGAGTGTTGTGTATATTGTGTGGTGTTGTGTGTACATTCTGGTGTCATATGCCTGTATGTATGCCTGTGTCCTGGATGCACATCCGCACCCCCCATACACGAGCACCGGCATGCATACGCAACTACACCCACAGCGCATCTCAATCCAACCCCATCCTACCCCACCCCACCACATCACTACCATACGTACGTACACATACCTTGTCAACAATCTCACAAAAATCCGCGTTATACAGATTGCACACAGATGACTCAATCGTTCGCGAGCACACGCCATCGTCCAGGCACACAAAGGCGTCGTTGCCGCACTTGGTGTCCGCTGCTTTGGACTCCGACACGGGACATTTGGGCCCATCTCCGGGGCACAGGGCAGCAGCCTTGCACTCACCTTCTGCACGGCACACACTCTCGGAAGCTAGTGTGGGTCAGGGGTTGGGTTGGGTGATTAGTATTGACTGGTACTGGACTTTGGGGTGCACCTGGACTGGGACGGAATGGGCTTGCAGCGTGGTGAATGTACGCACACGCACACGCGCACACACACGCACGCGCGCACACACACGCACACGCCAATCACATCATATCAAGACGGGAGAATAGCTACAAACGCATACCAACAACGCCGCACACAAAGACCCGCCACACAGGAGTATGTCAAACGTGTGTGCTATCCCAAAGAAGGCAACTTACCTGCTGAAGCGTAGTGTGTCCAAGTAGCTATCTCTAAACCGTTAGGGGAAGATTCAGAGCAGATATTGAACTACACCATGCATCGTCGTCCATGCACACACACACTCACACATATTATATATATATATATATATATGTGTGTGTGTGTGTGTGTGTGTGTGTGTGTATCGACCAACACAGCCGACTTGCGAGTAGATGGTAAATGACGTCAAACATGCTTGCACACACACACACACAATACACCTAATCACTTACGGGCGTAATCACAGGTTTCTGTGCAGCAATCGTCGTGGCGTGGGTCACATTGACTGACGAGCTTACAGTCCTCGGTGCAGCACGTGCACTCGGGCGACGTCACGCCCGACTCCGCACCGCCGCAGTCGCACTCCTCTTCGTTGTCCTTGACACCGTCACCACAGTATGCCTATAGAAGGTATGATAGGTAAATTGGAAAGAGAGTGTGTGGTGTGAGATTATTCCGTATGAGCTTGGCCTGGGCAAACAGTTGCGGATATGAATGTATACATATCTATATTATATAAATATATTATATAAATATATACGTATATAT